CCCCCCGCCCCGTTCTGCTAAAATTTTGTACAGAAGATAAATCAATCCACTGACTAGACCAGATTCAGGAGTACAGTGACAGACTCCAAACACAGAGAAGCACCTCCTTGACCCCCACCTGTAACACACTACCATAACATCTCCATCATCCGTACCGGCATGTAAATAGCAATATGCTATTTGTCATCTTCTGATCCTGCAGAAAAGCCTCCCCAAATCTATCAGTTTCTAACGCTGGTCTGTGTAAAAAAGCTCATGAAAAACAGGCAAGTGACTACAAGCTGACTGGTCCCAAGGCAGCAGGGAACCAGAGCAGAGTCATCGCAATCCCTGTCACGGTAAAACCATATCTCGCTGTCTGCGACCTGCAATCTCCGCTCTCTCCCTCACTATGCGTGTATTTGTATGACTAAACACCACCAAGGGAAACTCCAAGCTACTTTTTGCACTGCAGAATAAGCCACAGATGTGTGTGCATTTCCTGTTCTCTGCATAGCACCTGGCAGATCTGGCCCCAGCACATTTCAAATACATCTGTTGTTTACAGCCAACGTGCCCACAAAACACAGCAGAAAGCTGCAAAACAAAGAAGAGCACAAAAGAGCATAAAATGACCTGGAAATGTCTCAGGGAGACCAGGTAATACCCTGCAGCAACGAGATGTTTTTGCTGTAACGCAGAGCAAGAGTCCCTACGTGCTGGTGAGATGGACCCAGTTACTTCCAACACCAAAACTGGAGCCAAATCTGGAAGGGGAAGGGAAGCAGATCCCACCCTCTCCACTGAATGGGACACAGAGAGACTGCCCAGCCAAGCACTCTCAACCAGACCTGTCAGGGACACCTTCAGGTACTCCCCAAGTCAGCTTTGCCTCTCTCACATCCCATTTCCTTACCTTGGCTTTCGTTTCTTGCGTTCCTGTACTGGCGGGTCGGGATGTGACAGAAGAGACTCGTTTAGAGGTGGAAGCAAGGCTGGAGGGTGTTTTCGAAGGGGTTGTGCTAGAGGAGGTGTGTCGTTGGGGGGGGATGGAGGGTCTATCGCCTGGGGGTTTGGCAGTGGAAGGTGAGGATTTCTTAAACATGGAAACAAAATAAAATTGGAACAAAACAAAAATCAGTATGGGAGGGAAACAAAAGGGGATCACCAACATTAAATAGGATTAGAAGGTGCAATACAGAACTGGGTGTGGGATAGGCGATGGCTGGTACTGCCCTCTCCCTGCAGCACAAAGGTGGGCAAGAGCTGCGGGGCCCAGGGCACTGCTGGGGTCCCGCAGTTACACCGGCAAGTATGGGGTACCTCAGGTCTACTCCTCCCACAGGGTGCAGCAACACCCGAGCCCCTTTCTGGGACAGTGTCACCCCGTGACAGCCTGCACTTGCCACCACCCTCAACACCAGTGGCACCACGTGCTCCGCTGGCACAGATGCTGCAGGTACAGGTACAGCACTGTCAACAGCAGCATTTCTGGGAGATGCAGATCGATGCTCCCAGGTCTCTCATCCTCATCAAACCTGCTTGGTCAATAATGGATTGCTGGTTTTTATCTAGACGATTGCTTGCTATCATGACAAACGCCTAGCTTGATATTATCCTGCCATTATCTCGCCCAGGCAGCAGCCAGGCTAATGGCTAGCTGAACTAACCCTCCTCCAAATTAGCAGTGTGACAGATATCCTTAAACTTCTAGAATTTACCCACTATAAAACTCTGTTCCTGATCCAGAACACAGCATCTGCAAGGCCTAGATGATTTAATTTAATTTTCTAATTACATGCTTTGCTCTTTTCACTGTTAGGCTGCTTGTTCCCAATCCAGGCCAAAGCAGTTTCGAGTTTGCTTTTGCACCGGTTTGCCCCAGCAAAGCCAGCTGTCTGCTTTCTGGTCTCAGGTTGGGAAAATGATTTCTCTAACCACCGACCCAACATGAGCCACATGTTTAGTTTAGATTTGGTTGGCTTCCTCGCCCTCAAAGATCACCACGGATTGCACCATCCAAACCACGGTGAGGGAAGAAGAAATAAAAACACTCTTGAAAGACAGATGGAAGAACGGAAGATAAAGGCAAGGTTTCCTAAGAGGCACAAGGGCAGTCCAGAAGAGCAGGAGAGGGAGTCAGGAACATGCACAGCACTTAGAGGGTTGAAGTCACCTCTGGTTTTATTTTTTAGCTTACCTTCGGTTTCTTTCCCTCAGCTTCAGGACCTTCCTTGTCTTTGCTGTCAATATGACCTGGCAAATGGAAACACACAGAGTTACACTTCTTGGGACTGGTCAGTAAACTCCAGAGAGATGATAATGCCTGCACTACAGCAACATGCATGTTGGGTGGGTGTTCCATGTTCCTGCTCTCCTTTAAATTAAATATTATTCTTAGAAATATTACAAAGTCACTCCTTCCTTGCAGAAATACTTCCACATCGTAAACACATTCTTTCTGGATTAACAGATTATCCTGCGCACAGGCAACAGTGCATTAGTCATCATTGGAGCATCAGACACACGCCACAAGGTTTGTATGAGACCATTTTGCCCAGATTTGCACTCAGTTCCAGTAGCATCTGTTCAGTTTAGGACAGAACAGAGTTCTCTTCAACCCTAAACATGAGCCTCTCTCTCTCTAAAACATCCATTGGTTCTAACAATCTTATAAATAAAGACTAAAATTGAAGAATGCCCCAATCCTAGCAGCACCAGGTTGCCTGTGATCTCATTTGAAGTTGTTGTTCAGTGTGTTAGCTTTGCAAAGTGTTTTTATACCTGGCCGTTGTTAATTCCCATCCCTCCTGACACACTGCTTGCTGCCTCCCCAGCAGACAGCGCGCCTTCGATCTGGGTCAGATCCTGCAGAGTCTTAAGGTTTTAGCCGTTGTCCTACTTGATTCGTTATCAAGCTTACAGTGACTCTGACAATATTTCAGTGTTTTGTTCATTAGTCTACAAGCACACCAGACTGCAGTATTGCTAATTAGGAGATTAGAAACAGGGAGGAAGTAATGTTTGTACTATGAGGCACTCACAGAAAAGCCCCTTTTCCCCCGTCTTCAGCTAATTCCTCCCTAATCTGGGAGGAAAAGCTCCGGATGCTCTCCCCAGTGTTTTGGAAACTTGTCCTGGGGAGTCAGCCCTTTCCTAGTGACAGGAACAATGTTGTTAATCCAGCACTGACCCATCCCAGCAGCCTCTCCCAGAGCTGCTGGATGCACTACCCTGCCCAAATTCAGTTCAAGTGCAGACTGGAGCAAAGCTGGAGCTGAACAGCCATGAAGTATCTCTGTCTTTGGAGGAAAAGACCATTAGATAATCAAATAAATTCTTCCTATTCAATCAGAAACTGGTTGACTCTGGGCAACGCATCCCCAACCCACCACCGTTTTCAGGCTCCGATGCGAGTGATAGCAAGCCATGCCAATGCCCTGCAGCACATGTGCGAAGCTTCCCGCTGGCTTACTAGGTACTGAACAACGAGAAATATGTTATGAGCTTTAGCTCCAATGGAAAAAGCTACATCAACAATTTCTTCACGAACCCCAGGCAGCAAAGAGCACATTCTCTCTGCCGCAAACCAGAGCAGCATTTCCAAGCTAATGGAAGCAGCCAAGCCAGCTTTTGGGATGCAGCACTGGGATGAAAGGCAGAGCTTTCCCCAGGCCAGACCCTGGACAGCCAGAGCTCAGGGGCAACATGGTGAGACACCATCGGGTTTTAACGTTTTTGCTGCTGCCCCAGCTTATTAACACAACTCACTGCAAAACCTGTATTTGACCACTGAGCAGGGCCCCTAGTGACATCCCTCTGACCCCCAGTAAAGGTGGAAAATAGCTCCTGGAGAAAGAGAAGGTCGAAGAGCTGCTCTGCTGGCAGGGATACTCGTGCTTTGAGGGGTGAACTCAGCACTGCAGCCAAGACGGCGAAGGCTGAGATCGCTGCATGAACAGAGCAGCTCCAGGGTATGACTGCCCTCCCAGCCCAGCCTAGCCTAGAGACACACATGCTGTTAAGATGGACCCAAGAGCCAGGCCTACACACACACAGGCAGCTCCTGCAAAACACCCCAAATACAGCCATCACGTTGGATCACCGAGGACATCCCCTCCAGAACCGGGATCGGAGAAGGATGCTTTGTAAGAACATCGGACGAGTCCTGTAGTGGACAAAGGTCCGGCTAGCGGCAGATCTTGCCTCCAACAGCAGTCAGTAGTGGATATTTAAGGGAAAAGTACAAGAAACAGGACCAATGTGGGGCCTTTTCCATGGTTAGACCTGCCGTCTTGCCTTTTTCCTCCTCCCTCCTCTGGGGGAAAGCCAATACAAAGAGTTATTGGACCGGACAGTGGACACATGCAAACCAGATGGCATGTCTTGCTGGAACAAGCTGCAGCGTGTGCCGGGTTAGCCCCACTCCAACATGCCAGAACAACGTCCATCCGGTCTTCATCTTCTCTGGGAAGGTGCCAGCGGTGAGTTAAGGTGCCCACCCAACAGATCCAAGGAAATCAAAACAAAAACAGGTGAATAAAGCATGATTGGGGACACGCCAGCACCATGCAAGGGACGCAAACCCGAAGCATAAGGGTCTGGCAAGTAAGCCAGGACATCTCCAGGATTAAACTAAAGAGGGAAGGAGAGGGAGGGAGAAGCAGCGGCGCTTTGTAGATCAGTTCACAGCAAAGGTCCAGGCCATTTCCCAAGCAGCAGGATTCAAGAGGTGGCAGCAAGCCGAAGTACTGTGTTCAGGCAGCCTTGTCATGAGCAAGCCACCGGCAACGTGAGCTCAGGACAGGCAAACGGCGCACACACCTTTTAGGAGAGGGACGCGACTGACGGCTTTATCTGCAACATGGGCACGAGGTTTCTTCTTGGGCGTCCGACGTTCTCCTGTATCTGGCACAGCCTCTTCCAAAGGAGCATCTTTGTCTTTCACATCATCTTTTAACTCAACCGGGAGTTTGGCTGTTTCTAGCAAGGGTCCAGAATCTCCTCCCTCCCCGGGCTCAGCTTCTTTTTGGGAGATAATTTCAGAAGGCTCTGATGGGGTTACATCTGTATCTTCTTCACCCTCCAATGGCTGTCTCTCTTCTTGGTCCTTTCCTGCTTTACGTGATTCAGTTTCAACAAAAAGTGCCTCTCTTGGGATGTCTCTGAGGACATCTTTGGACTCGCTTTCTCCAAAGGCATATTCTTCAAGAGTTTCCTTGGCTATCGCTGGACACAAACCCATTTCAGGTCCTGGTGAAACATGCTGACCCACCAGGGAAAGCAAATCCTGTTCAGAAGTTTCATCAACATCACGGACCTCATCTTTCTCCCATCCACTGGCATCTTCTTTTAATGGGGCTCTGGTATATAAAGGAGATGGCCCATCTTTAACGTGGGAGTCATCTGTGCCACCTGCTCCTGCCAACCCCTCAGCACACACATCACGACCCAGCTCCGTTCCCAGCGCTGGATCCACACCAATGCCTTCTCTGCCTCGATGATCCCACAACTCTTTGCTGTCTTCAGATGGTCTGGAGTCTTGGTACATCTCCAGGGGTATTGGGATGGTGACCTCAATTCTGGTGGGAGCTGCTGTTGTAGCCTTCGTTTCATGCGACAGAAGAGGCTGCTGAAGAACCCCAGCTACCTGCTTTGTGGGCTGACTTTCTCCTTTTATTGCATCTCCCACAGGCTCCTGAGGGCCAGGCTGTAGCTTTGGAGAGCTCGGCTCCCCTGGAGTTGAAGATGCAGGGTATGAAGCATGGGCAAACAATTAGCACAGGCATTTCAAATAGGTAGTCAGTCATGTAATGCTGAAGAATGACTAAGGATTTCTATTGTCAATCTAGAGATAAAAGCAAGTCTCACACTGCCTCACTGAACAGTCAACTCACTTCTCGAGTGGTTTTTGCTTTTAAAGAGACTCTAATCCCCATGGGAATGAGGAACAGTGACAGCCACAGCACGTGGGAGACCAGACTCCTCCCTGGACCCGGTCTCCGAGGTGGCTGGGGTACCCAACCACCACCATCTGCCACAGCCACGCTCTATGAGCTGGTGTGGCTACAGAGGTTTTCAGAAAACACCACCACACCTATTTTCTAATCCAACACCACCACCAGGCCATCAGTTTGCTGGTCAGGGACCACCTCTTCTTGCCTCAAGAGCCTGAACAAAACAGGTCAGGCACCCTCCCTTCCTCCAAGGGCTTGCAAAATCCCTACAGTCCTCTCCTCCCTTGCAGGAGATGTTCAGGCAGACAAGGCACCAGTTACAGCCTCTCAGAGCTCAAACCATCTCTGCTTTGCTCTCCAGATCATTTCTGTTGCTAATGAGCTTGGGGAAGAGTAGTCCTACGTCTCCTCTCTTATTGCCATGTATTTCAACAGTCAGTGGAGCAGAGAGCCTGAGTGGAAAGGACTGTAAGGAAAAATGTGGCTCTGGCCAAACAGCCACAGCAATTCTGGACCGTGCACCCACTCAGGGTAATCACAGCTCCAGTGCTGCTGCCACCATTTGGGCAGAGTAAAAAGTGTGACATTTAAAACCCAAAACTTAGTGTCACAGAGACACAGATCTCTTTTTTTGTTGTTTGTTTGTTTGTTTGTTTTGGGTCAAAGAGAAAATTCTGTTCTATCGCTGATCTCATGCATGACACACATCTTTACAATTTCACCCAACAATTGCTGCATTAAGCCATATATTCTAGTGGAGCTTTTCTGTTAGAAATTCACTCAAGTGAAGCAAAGATGCACTGAGCAATGGAGAATTCACCCTGAACATAGGTAAATTGCTTTAAAAATCAACTGCCCTAGTAAGAATGTGCATCTTATATTATGAATTTGTCCAGCTTCAAATAGTCTTTGGTCTTTTTGAGCACTGATCAGGTAAACTGAAGAGCCTAGATCGGAGCACTTCAGTACTGAGATATTGATTGTTGCTTTGTTAGATTAACAAACAAGGTTAAAACAAGAAAAGAAGTTAAGACTGACTCAGTCTTTTATCAATGTTCTCCCTATTTTAAGAGAATATAATGGTTAAGTGAAAGGACCACACAATGACCTCCAAAATTATGGTTTAAGAGAAATCTTGAATTGGTACCTATTGGCAGGTAACATTTGAAATGTTTTCATACATTCAACATTTGAAATTTTTTCAAATCCCACAGCATGAAAAATAAAGGTAGTTAGTAACGAGATATCAAAGACTCTGTGTGTGTATCAATAATCACATTTTCCTCCGAATCAAAGAGAACCATTAAAAGGAAGCAGCACATTATTACAAGTTCACTTTCAGAGAAGTAACAATTTACATAAGAACCTAGAAATGTCATATGTAGGTTATATCAGAGCTCCAGCTAGCTGTATGTCCCCACATCTGACAGGTGAAAGATCCCAGGACAGTACAGAAAGGTCTTACTAAAAATCTGGTGAGAAACAGCAGCTAGAACCAGGCTGAATAGGGCAGACAGAAGAGAGAACTTCACTCCCCTCCCACTAACAATCTTGATTTCTTTTTTGTAGTGGCGCCACTATTTTAAATACAGAAGAGTTGCTAGTCCAAGAACCACTGGACAGGCAAGCAAAGGTTTCATTTTAATTGCAGGGAGTGGACTGCACATAACTGTGCTCATCCATGTGTGGAAAGCGAAGACGACCTGAATTCTGCCCTGAGCTGAGGAGGCAAAGACCTATTTACTTCTTTAAAAGACACGGATGTCTGTAAATGCACTAATGCAGCCATGATGCTGCCCAAGCAACAGAAGAAATTTGTGATGTTTACTGCACAGAAAACTACCTTACAAAACGGGGTTTAACTAAGATTTTAAACAGCGTATCAAATCAGCGCTACGGCATATTAGTCCTAGCAAGACAGCAATATCAAAGTGAGTTTGAACCTGTAAGTCTCCACCATTGAGCACGGAATTAAGCTAGCACTGGGTGCTTTGGGAAAACCCTGTCCTGAGGTTTTCCATCAAGTCTGAACCGAGTAGAGTCAAGAGAGGCTTTCCAGATATCCAAGAGGTCCCTGGATAATTTCTTGGTTCATCTGAGCAGACACACAATTAATGCTCTAAAAACGCTTACTGCCCACCGTGCCTGGCTTTGCCACTCACATTCCCTAAGACTGGGATGAGAAAAACACACCCTTAATGTTGAAGTCAGGGCATCAGCGAGTAGGTCTGAGACATGTTTTACGTTAGAAAGAAACACAGTAATTAAACAATTCACTTATTTCACGTGTGAAATGCAGGGCCCAAAACTGACTCTGCTCAATGCTGAGCGGTTCCTTCTGGCTCACTGCACCACTCCGGCTCTGTTTATTGCCTTTTCCAGCCCGGAGGATGCCCTGTTTTGCAAATGGACAAACAAGCACCAGGGCCTTCAGCCATCTGAGAGAGAAATTTGGTCCATGAAAAGCTGCAGTCCCCTGAAATGAGTATGTTGGAACATTCAAAGCATGAATGACACTCCCCCGTCAGGAACAGGGAGAACTGCAGAACTGCTCGTACAGTGCAGAGCATTTGCATTACAGAAGAAAATTCCCAAGCCATTAGCAACCAGCCGCACATGTGGGCAGCAATAACCGGACCCCGGCGATTCACTAACCTTGAGTGGCATCTCCTCCAGCGTGGTCCTCCAGGTTGGGAGTGGCTCCTCCCCCCGCCTCTTCAGCTGGTCCCAGTTCAGAGAAAGAAGGGGAAAAACATGATCAAAACAAGAATTAAGTTTAAGTGTGTGTCTGGAGAATTTATTCACCTCCCTGCTGATTCTGCCCATCAGCGCCTTATTATGAGCTGGGCAGAATCAGAAAGGCAACCAACCCACACCGATGGTGGATCTGGGTAGATCTATTCAGCCTGCACTGTACCAGACTGGAGGAGTGTTTCACCAACTTGCACATCCTGGCAGGTTAGTACAAGCTTCTTCAGGTAGAGTTGCAGAAAACAGGCTGTTAAGGAGCAGGGAAACTTGGGGATTTATATCCCCTCTTCTACACCCACCTAGCGTTTACGTTGCCACCAGCACTCACATGAATGTCCAACTCTTACCTGAGCCCTACCTTCTTGGTGTCTACTACCTAGCTTTCTGTAATGAACTCTGCCAAGGCTATTTGACACCAATAAATCCGAGTCTGATATAAATCTGACATGTGAGTACACTAGAGAAGCACAATTTTTTTCACAGCAATGATGGTTTGTCTCTATCAGAATTTTTTCAATTTAATATATGACTACTTTCAAACTAGCTTCATCAATTATATTTGTACATCACAGTTCTACAGTCAAACTAGGACTTTCTCTGTTTTCTCCATTTTTTTCCCAATGAGTTCAGGACACACTGCTTCTTCCTGGCTCCCTGGTACAGTCAGATCTTGAAGCAGAGACTGCGCATCCTTGCTAGCAGGCGAGCCACTCTGCGGTCCAGCCCAGGGCTTCACCAGCAACCTGGGGACCGGGTGAAGAACAATTTGGTTGCCTGAGGGAGTGTGCTGTGGGTTCGTTTCAGTGTTCGGGCATTGACTGAAGCCCACTTCCACCCACTACTTTTCTCAGGTGCTGTCTGATGCTTCCACGAAAAGCCAGTGGCTACCGCAGAGGGGACATACACTAATTTTTCACATACAGACTTGGCTCTCCCAGGAGCTCCTGCCCTCTCATACACACACAGCACTGCTGCAGCTCGCTCCCTTCTTACTCTGCCTCTGAAAGACCTCCATCCCTCCCTGGAAAGCCAGGCCCAGGTGCAGTGATTCCCCATAGAGCATTCAGACTGAATTAGCCACTTCACTTCCTCTGCGTTATCCTTAAAACGCGCCGGCAGCCACAGAACTGCTGCAGTGGCCTGGTTTTCACCTGCTGCTTCAAAGACAACTGCAGGGTCTGGGCTGAGCGAGAGCACCAGTGAGACAAGCAGCAAGGTCCTGCGGTGACCGCATCGCCTTGCCAGCAAAGCGGGGGCTGCTAGCGGAGGGGCAGAGATGACCAGGATCTGCAGGTAAGCGCTTAGCCTGGAGATGGGAGGCGATGCCACAACAGAGACACCAGATAGAAAGACTGTCAGATGTGGAGCTGAGAAAGAGAGAAGAAAAGGCTGCAAGTTTCCCCCCAGGATGGGGAAGGCAAGAGGACAATTGTAAGCTCGGAATTATTTCTGCAGGCTGCGGAGAAGAAAGAAGCACGCATCAGGAGCAAAGCACGCCTGCGAGAGGTTTTGCAGTGTGATTTTTAAGCACTAACCAGTCCAGCTCTCTGCTCTGTCTGCATCAAGAGATGAAACTGCACCTTGGTCTCCCTCACCTGTGGTTCCTTCTGGGATCTCCCCGTGCTGTTCGACACCACCCTGATCCTCGTGGTCTCCTTCCTCCACTAAAGGTGCTGTGGCATCTGAAAAACAACGTAGCTTTCACATAGCTGTCGAGTGGCAAAACCCTGTGGAGGCCAGGACACGCCTGAAGAACTTTTTCGCTCAGAAAAGCACCCGACTCCCTCTCTTGAGCCAGTGCTTGTGGAGGGAGACAACTGAGCATGACATAGCAAAGCCAGTATCGCAGGGACACCGTGAGCCTCTGCCACACAAACCACAAACCACACATCTCCAGCATACTCCTTATGCAGCTGAAGGCTTTACCGTAAACACCACCTTGAAATGCACAGCTAAAGACAGCCAGAGGTGCCTGATCTGCATGCATGGCAATGCTATCTGCATGGGGACATCACTGGTCTGGAGCAGGAGAGAACAGCTCCCATCAGACACCTTCATAAACCATCTGAGCACTGCGACTGCGTCGCACTCTGGGCAGCTCCGAGACAGACAGATACCCGGTCCCATCTACCAGCGGGATGTCTGCTCATCATGACAGTCCTAATCCAACTGGGAAGAGGGACAATATCCCCTTCTGCACCAGCCAGGTTTTACATGCTGATTTCTTGTGCCACATCCACAGGAACAGCGCTGCTTCACAGACAATCAGTCGGCCCACACCTCCAGCGGGACAGGGCTGGAACCGGTCACCTTCTCTGTCCACTTTTCTTTTAGATAAATTTTGCAAACTAATGCCTTTACCTGAAGTCTCCAAGAGGCAGATCCTTGGGATTAAAGCAGCCAGAGGAGCACAAAAAGTGCAGTTAATTAAAATGGTGAACAAGCCTCTAGACCACTCCAGAAGCAGATGCTTTCTACAAACATGGCATTCAGATAACACCCTGGAGCAGCACAGACTTGCCCTGAGTCCTACCAATACAGACTTTACATCAGCACAAAGTTTTGTTTTCTGTACAGACTCTGCCCATCTTATCATTCCAGCATGAATCACGCTGTACTAATGAACATGTAAATACAGTGGGGGCAAAAAAAAAGAGCTATGAGGAACAGCTAACTCTGAAAGGGAACACAGTGACTGGGAGGTGCTCTCAGTATCTTGGGGGAACACAACGATGCAAACCTCTGGCCCTGGGAGCACACAACACGGGATTGCTCCCGGCTGCGTTGAGCCCATGGGACCTTGCAGTCACTGTGTAAAAAGTCTTCAGGAAACAAACCGCAAGCAACCTCCTGAGCTGTAATAAACACTTCACCTTCTCTTGCCTTCCAACCCACTCTCCACCTTTAAATCTCATTATCTCATTCTGCAGAGTGGCAAATGTCACTTGTGATGAGACTAACGAAGAGCACTTGTCCAAGAGTGCAGACACTCCTCCTGAGAAACCCCAGCAGCACACAGCACGGCGAGTCTTTTGGCAAGGTTTACCAGGACCCCATCCATCATGGTTTCAAAGCAGTAAGTCAAAGAGCTCCCACCTTCCGTAGTTGGGGTGCTCTTAGCGTCAGATGTTTCAGAAACAGGCTCATCCGATCCATCATCGACTGGTATCTGAAGGGGATAGCCTGGAAAACATTCAAATGCTTAGAACAAGTCCTTGGCTATCAGTTATGGCCTGTGCATTACAAACTCTGATTGCCTAGATCCACAGCGCAAGAAACTGTAATTGGAGAGCATAAAACACCTGAACTAATAAGCAAGCAAAGCGTGAAAATGCCAACCAAAAGCACCAGTGTCATCACCAAAAGGAACAAGCAGAAACCCATCAGCAAAAGAAAAGCCCAGTGAACCAGACAGCTAGAAACAGCAAAGCATGGTACAAGCAGGAAAGGAGATCTTGGCAACGTAAGCAGAAAAGATGTACAACTTCTGAGTCACTGTTTTCCTCTCTGCCACTTCTGGAGCCATTAGCCTCCCGCCTAGAGCAGGCTGCTTGAACGCTTCCATGATGCGTTAATTCTAATCATTGCAAACCAACAAGCCTTTGTAAAGGGCCTGGTGTAGCACGTAACGTACTGGGCGAAGACTTGGTTGCAAAAGTCATCTTTTGGAAGGGCAGGGCAAGAAGCACAAGTCTGCCCTCTGCAAGGGATCTGGGCAAATAAAATATTGAGAACTGGAGAAAATGACTTGGAAAAGAAGACTCAAAATAGCGTAAGCAAAATCCCTGTGAACCTGTGATGTGTGAAGCTGAGGCTACAAGCTGAGAGGAAGTATCAGACTGAAATGCATTACAGAACCTGGGATGAATGGATGCTATGGATCTCTTTATCTGGTGTAAGGTGTGTCCAAAGCACCTCAAGAAAAGAAAATTAAGATGATGTTTATATGGAGCATAGCTGGGAGTGAGTCCCACCACGTTTGCTGGCATTACGTGGGTTTCCAAGCTCAATTGTGGAGCATGGTGGAATGAGAAAGGAAAGGCTTCTTGAGAAATGCAGGTCTGAAATATGAGGTAAGAGACTCTTGCATGGCCCCCGCTCCCAGAGCTCTCCGTTCAGTTCTCCCCATCGCCCTGTGCAGGTGAGAAAAGCAGGCAGCAAGAAGCATCCTTGAGCTGTGTCTCCAAATAAAAGCAGTGCTGTATTTTTATAGCAAACTGAGGAGTGAACGCAGAAACACACATTTGCAAAAGCTGCAGCAATAAGATCATCGCTAGTCTGGATACTAGGGGTTGTTCTGCTCTCGCTGGGCAAGGATATCAAAGAGCAGCATTTTCCTACAATTGTGAACACCAGAGCATCTTGTGGGCTACCCACTGTCCACTGGCTGCAGCCAGCTGATCCATGGCAACCTTCCACACACATGTACCCACTCCTCCTGGCCATCCCCCCTCGGCACCACCACGCTTGCCCCACTCTCCCTATTTAGGTCATTCTTCTCTCAGTAGTGGGCAAGGCAGGTCCTTTACACCATCTCCTCCTGGAGACGCTCACCTGATGGGATGTGCTTCTCCTGGCCAGCTGCGTGATCCTCCATCATGGTGATGTCCTGACGCTGCTCCGCCATCTCTCAGCAAAGTTACCTGACAAAGAGAGTAAAAACAAGCACTCATTAGGCAAAACCTGACACAAAATGCCTTCGTCTGGAGCCCAGTTTGCGCGCTCCCATCTACTGCTCCGTGAGACAATTTTGGTTTGTCAGCCAGTTTCCAGGAGCATTAAGCATCCTATTGCAATCAGCCAACAACCACCAACGATCTTCTCAGCCACTGGAAGGATAGATCTACTTTGCTCCCAGTTCCTGATGAGCCCTGAAATCTCACCATTGTGCTCGGGGAAGGTTCACAGCTCAAGACACATGTTACCTACTGGGTATCACACTGGTGCTGAAATACTCCACGGACCATCTAACGCTAATACCTCCAAATCCACCAGGAGCATGTTTTGTCTGCAGTCATCAAGTAGAGGAGGACAATGGGAAGGGAGGGTTAACATGCCAAACCCGGACCTAAAAGGGCTGCCCCAGCCGGACACTGCTCTTTGGCAGAGCTGCACGAGGCTCTCAGCACAGGAGGTCACAGCAATCCACACTCAGAGGACAGAAAAAATTCACCTATGGGTGTGAGCCAAAAGGAGAAGACAGATTTTGCATAGAAGACATATAAAGGAGTAAACGTTCCCTGTGAACAAAGGGAATGTCTAATTATTCCTGCACAAGCTAAAGCATGTGCTAGTCACTGCATCCATCACAGTAAGGATATAGGCAACTTCTGCCCAGATGCAACATCAAAATTCCACAGGTATTTAAGATGTCCCAAGTAAAATGACCCCCCTGGTGCACACAGGACAATGCTCAGCCACTGTTTTGTCACAGGCGATCACCGGTGCCGCATGTTTAGTCCTGAAAGTACTTCTGCCGCACACTCCAAACTCTGCATTTGCCGATTTAATCAGTCTCTCAACAGAAGTGTCTGCTGGCAAGGTGTGATGCTGCTGGAGGAAGGGATGCCTTCTACCCCTCTGGATGCACCCAGCAGGGATACACAGCTGTAACGACACACTGATCATCTCAAAAGCAATCCAAAAGTGACATACAGGGGTAAACCAGGACTCTCCAAAGATGGATTTGGACCAGGGACTCTGAGACAAGAGGTTCTTGCTTGCTGTGGGTCTGAGAGGACAGCACAACGCCAGCTTTAACCCTGAATCCTTCGTGCAGTGCTCAGAAAGCCAACACCATGGTGTAGAGCAAAGCACAGTAAATAGGTCTGGACACCGGCGTGGAAGTAGAAAGGTGCCAAAATTCAGAGTTATTTTTCTAACGTGCTTCTATCCACAAAAGGAAATGAAGTCGCCAACAAACACTATCTGCTTCTGCGAAGCAAGGACCGTGTTGCTCCTCATTCTCCATGCTGGTTGGACAGTCATTGCTTTTAGTTGACTTCCTAATAGCTGATATAATTACAGCCATTGGCAGTGATTAATAACCAGCTATTAGTGCAATCGCACGTTTGCCATGACCGTCAGGAGCGAACAAATCCAGCAACGAAGCTCAGGTTACCGGCAGCAAGGAAGCAAACTCATGTGGTTTTGTTTGATGGCAATAAATTAACTGGATATACGGAACTACGCAAGAGAAACTCCGATGCTAGTAACCAGATCCCTCACCCAGCTTTTTTTAAGCCTTAGCAAGATGACTATGCAATTTAATTTCTGCCTTAGACAGCTACAAAGCCATTTGACAGAACTGTACCAAGCAAGTTCAAGAACTTGCCCTGAAAGAAAATCACCCATCAACATGGAGGTATAAAATAGGAAATAATTAAGTACCTAATTTTTACCCCAAAAACGGTGGGCCCTAATTATTTGGACATACGGCTGCCCTCCTCCCAGACCTCAAAGGATCGTATTGATTACATACTGGTCTCATCTGGCTGCCGCTTGATATTATTTACAGGTCTACTTAGCACTGAAATACTAAAATATAAAGTTGACCTAGTGTACAGGCCACAAAAGCAACTTGGGCATGAACATGAGTGTAAAATGACACACAAACGTGGGGTGTGTGTGTGCAAGCACAGAAAAGTGACCTCTCTGCCCCAAACGCACACGCAGGACTGAGTCCAGCAGTGTTCCCCAGGCACTGCTCTGTCTGTTGGTACAAAAAGGTGGATGGGAGAAGCAGTTCCTACCCCGCTCACAACTGGTGGTCCCTAACTGTCCTCCCAGCCCCGCTCAGTTCACTACACTTCTACAGACAGTAACATCTCCGCTTCCCAACTGCAAACCCGGAGGCAAACCACTCACAAATCTGCTGCGCTGGATTTAAATGAGGCTTACTGTTTCCTTATTCTGCCTCCTTTTCTCTCTTCCTCCCACCTGTTTTTTGGAGAAGAGCAATTAGCATCTCCCCCAATCTCCCTGGAAAGACACATTTAGTTCTTTCTTGCCTCTGGACAAGAATTTCCTGGGACACCATCCAGAGAGGACTCTAGCTTGACAGCTAGCAAGCTCACATAACCCGCCAGAGGCTCATCTGCTGGCTCCATGGACAGCATCCGACACAGCCAAAGATCTTCCACTTTTCGTCTGAATAGAGCATTCAGCATCTGCGTAACCCTGGCACAGCAGCAGCGAGCCATGATTCAGCAAAGGCCGGTGGATCTGCCGGCGGGCGCACAGGGCCGGCCGGTCACAGGGCTGACTGTCGCCCTGCTTCCCACCAACCTGCCGGTGCCAGGGCTTTTCAGCACAAAGGAACGGCCGGGTGTTTTTCAGAGAAGCTGACGATCTTGCGATCTGTTTTGAGTTTTGTGGGAAGGCCTTTAACGCTGTGCTGCTCACAGCCGGGCAGAGGCAGCTCCCGTTCCCACTCAGCTCCAGGCAAGGCAGGATTCAGCTGTCTTAGAGGTGGGCTCTGGAGGATGTAGCCATTAATTTTTCAGAGACAAGAGAGAAAGAGCTGCCTTTTCTGTTACAAGGAAAAAAGCATGACCAAAAGCCACAAAGATTCATCAAAAAAAAAAACCAAAAACCACTCAATGGGACCCTGAGAGCACCTGAAACCTGGCTACAGCTTACGAAACGCCCTGGATGTTCATTCGTTTGGACATGGTGATTCTGAGGGGTGTTCGGTTTGCTATGGAGAGCAGACGCACCTCCCAGCAGATGAAGCACCATGTCCTCCCACCGTGTCCGCAGCACGGCAGGCAAAGGAACAGAGTCACCCTGCGACTGAGCTGCTGTCTGCAGCAGCCAGTGGTGGAGAAAACCAAAAAATCCTCAAAATTGGTACGAGCCGAGGGGCAGGGAGGGGGGATCCAGCTCCCACATGGTTCCCACAGCATCTTACTTTTAGCTGAAGAAATGCCCACTCAACAGATGCCTTTCTGACAAACGCTGCCCCTCCCGTGTGGCTCGGGAAGCGTTTCCTACAGTTTGCCCTCCAAAGCCTGGCAGGGCTGAGATTTAAACCCATTACAATAGGGCTGATGAAATTTCATCAGCACCAGATAAGCAAATAAATAACATTAAGCGCACAAAGCGATTCAATGGGCAAGTACGAGTGAGCAGCCACCACCATTATCTCTAAGCTGCAAAGCTCTCCCAGCAGAATTTGAAATACGCAGGCCATACAATCATACAGTTTTAACATCATCTATAAAGATATTTTATGCCTCTCCAATGGATGCTGAACTTCATTCTCTCCCTCTTTCTTTTTCATCCATTGTAGACGTTAGCTAAAAGCATCGCTCACTCAAGACCATACTGATGATGAACACAGTTTTGGGACAGATCTGTCCTGTTGAAACCAAGAAGCAAAACTGAACTGCCTATATGCAACCCCCTTCTTATTCTAGAGGGAAAGTCTCAGCTTTGCTTTGGGTTTTCACTCAGGTAATAAATTCGTACGACTAAAGAGAATTTAAACCTTATTAAAACTGCATATTTTAGATTAGACTTCTTAAACAAAGACTGTCTGAACATTGTGCATTTGAGAAACTACTTTGAATTTTTAAAAAAGTCTATAATGATAATCCTATTTGTCTTTCTTTTCGAGTGGGGGAAGGGGAAATCCCTCCTAGGGAAAAACAGAACATTAAGGGGAAAAAAATATTCTAAAAACTGTAAAACCTGCCCCACCCTGAAGCGAAGGTTCAGTAATGAATAATTACAGCAAGCATAGCTGCACAGAGATAAACTTCAGCAGCACCCTCTGCATGACAGATAAAGCACAAACCCTCCTAAGAATCTTATCCATTTCCAGCAGAACTATTCTTGTTAACCAGGGACACTATCTAAAAAGCAACAGCCTATCCCATAATTAACAGCTCCTCCAAACCTCGCATTTTTCAAACCCGTAGCCCACCTTTCGAGAGGAGCGGCATGCTGAGCAACAAGGCACACGGGGAGGCAAGCAGGGGGGGCAAAGTTTTTGTTGCCAGGAGCAGGAGAAAGAGTCTGATTTCTGGCAGCACAGGCTCAGCCCACCAGTACCTCTGGGGTTTGCTCTGTGCATGCAACCTAGTTAGGGCCTATCAAATCCAGTTTGTCCCAGAGGTGAGTTTAAGTGGGGAGAGCCCGGCCATCTCCTGCCACCAAATGGAATTGCTTTGCCATTTGCATCGGCGTTAAGACGAGACGCAGGCTGGCACACAGCGTACTTCACTCTCAGGCTTGGAGATGCTTTCCCAATGATAAAGGATTACAAAACAGTGTGGGCTCCAAGCCCCCAACTGGTTTGAGAGCTGAATATTTGCCATCCCCACCCTCAGACCGGTATAACCTGGAGAGGAGCAGCTATTCCAACTTACTGTAGCCAGGGCGGGCTGGAGGTGTGCGTGGATCCACTGGCAGAGCAGAGGACAGCTTGTGGCATTCAGGCCACCGGGCCACTCCGGATGCACTTCTCCACAACTCAGCCAGTTAAGCTCAACGTTGAGCAACCAGGAGCAACTTTGAAGCATTTGAATAGCATTTAACAGCTGAACCAGGCCCCAGAACAGTCCCTGCAGGCCTGTGTTGTACAAAATGTTAGGGGCCAAAAGCCAAAGTAGCAATTTACAT